AACTCTTTCTATAGAGTGTTTATATGTAAAAAAACCCCAAAAAACAGTGATATTTTGGTAAAATCCTAACCATTATCAAAATATCCATCAAATTCTATCTGTTCATGACATATGGTTGGTAGACCAAATAAGGTAATGCAGAAATTAGGGGGTGATAAAAGATGGTGTTGAGTGAGACTGATCAGAGCTCACCCAGGTATTCCGAGCAGCTATCATTTATTGAGAACGAGGGAACTTTGAAGCCAATCCAGCTTAATAATAAAGTTGAAGAAATAATTTAACCTGCAGTTTTATATATTAGGATCACGAGGAAAACACAACAAGGAAGTACAATCTACAAAGTCTCGAAAAATGATTACGTGTCATATCGAACGTATGTGCTTCTTTGATATGTTAGATCACAGGAAAATTCTATAATTGCATAAAAGCGGCTATTATAAATTACAAGTTCTGGAATGAGGATCATTGTGTTGTGTGCCATGTATATTTAGTGAAAAGCTAAAGTAATTTAGTTTAAATATATCATTTGTGAGGAAATTACCACTGTTCAGTTGGTTGTGCTGTATTATTTATCAATATGGAGATTTCTGTTTTATGGATATTGCTATTGAAGGTAAGTTGTACAATTTACGCAACGTGGCACGTTTTTATAAATTTAATAAATGTCAAACGGTGAGTGCGCGTCTTTTTAGTAATAAAACAGAAATATATTTCTGTTGTTTTTGCTGGATTTACTCTCTATATTCCCGTTTATTTTCAAATTGGGCACTGACTGCTTGGTATTTATAAATGACGACATTACATTCGCCTTTCCATATACGATAGATTAAGGTCCGTATTTTTATTACATTAAATTCAACTTTATATATATGGTACGCAATACAAAAGACACGTAAGAGAAACGTAGATCATAGCGAGCACACACGCCTGTCTAAAGACCTGTCTTTAATTATACAAAGACCTGCGTAAAACACACGGTCGAATGATAAATCGCACGGTAAAACAGTTTTACTTCCCAAATTTTGATTTAACATGTACGTGTGAGATAAAGCCTGTTGGTCTTTGATTATACTCCTTTTGATGCAGTTATCGCAACTAGCGAGAAAACACGCCAATTAAACAATACACATTGACATTTATTTTTTACCGGTCAGTTAATTAACACACCTCTACTGAAAACGCACTGTCGCACAGTTTTTCACCCCTAGCGTTAATTATCTCACCTCCCAGACAGTTTTTCACCCTTGTTAATTAACACACCTTCTTTACACTTTTAACGCGGTAATACCAAGTAATAGTCGGAAAATTAATTTTCTTTCGATACACGTACAAATAACAACTATGACTGAGATTTATATGGTGGCTGTGCACAGATTCACCCTTTAGCAGTTTTCAGTGTATAGGGTCCACAGCCTTGATATACCATATTTTTACGCTATTTGAGAACGAGGGGCGGCCATTTTGTCTGTCAGTTTTGGGCCGATTTTCACGAAATTCGAACTCAGCCGTCCTCAGGGTGTAACGGTGATATAATAATAATACGGTTTTTTAAATCGGATAAAAATTATGACCTTTATAGGGTCCACAAGCTAAAAACGTGATTTTTCGTACAATCAGGGGCCATAATTCAGGGAGTTACGGTCCGATATGCACGAATAACGAAAGGAATCGAGATCTTTCGGTTATAAACTTACATTTCAAGTTTCAACAAAATCGGATAAAAATTGTGACCTCTATAGGGTCCACAACCTTGATATACCATATTTTTACGCTATTTGAGAACGAACGGCGGCCATTTTGTCTGTCAATTTTGGGCCGATTTTCACGAAATTCGAACTCAGTCGTCCTTAGGGTGTAACGGTGATATAATAATACGTTTTTTTAAATCGGATAAAAATTATGACCTCTATAGAGGCCACAAGCTAAAAACGTGATTTTTCGTACAATCAGGGGCCATAATTCAGGAAGTTACGGTCCGATATGCGCGAATATCGAACCAGAGCCAAGATCTTTGGGTTATAATCTTACATTTCAAGTTTCAACAAAATTGGATAAAAATTGTGACCTCTATAGGGTCCACAAGCTAAAAACGTGATTTTCGTACAATCAGGGGCCATAATCCATGAAGTTTCGATCCGATACATGCCAATATCGAAAGCCGCTAAGATCTTTCGGGGATAAACCTATATTTCAAGTTTTGTCAAAATCGGATAAGAATTGTCACCTGTAGAGAGTCCACAAACAATTGTGGACGGACGTCCGGACGGACAGGGGCAACGTCATAATACGTCCACATGAAAACGTGGGCGTATAAAAATCAGAATTGATTATGAAAGTTGATAGTTTAAAAGGAAGATCAGAGAAATTAAAAGTAAAAAATAATAAGTTAAGAAGAGCTATTTTTGATAAAATAAAGAACAAGGGGGTTAAATTGAATGATACAAATAATACTGAATTGTTAAGTTTGGAAAACAGTTTTGGAGCAGTAATGCCAGTATGCTAAATTAAACAAGAAGACCTGTATGCGTTGGCACCCAATGATAATCAAATGGTGTCTGTACATGAAGAGCAAGAGTAGGAAAGCATATGATGCTGTCAGAAATACTGGTTTTGTAGCTCTTCCAAATGATAGGACATTGTTTGATTATAGTCATATACTTCCCAATAAAACTGGCTTTAACAGTGATATCACATATCATCTTATCCAGGAGGCAAGAGAATTGGGAATGTATGATGAAAAGCATATGTCGTATGTTGGAATACTCCAAGATGAAGTTAAGGTTTCAGAGGGTTTAGTGTATGATAAAAACAGCGGCGAACTTGTTGGTTTTGTTGATCTTAATGAAACCAGCAATGAATTAATTAACTTAGAGCATATTTTAGATGACACTAGATGCTCGTTATTATGGTAAGAGGCATTACCTCAAATTTAAAATATCTGATAGCCTGTTTCCCCACAAAAGGCATCACAGCAGATTTTCTCCATCCAATCTTGTGGGAAACGATAGAAATCCTAGAATATGACTGTGAACTGAAACCCGTATTTATAACGTGTGACGGTGCTTCAGCTAATCGAAGATTTTTGAATTGCACAACATGGGTGTGGAAGATACTCTTTTTGGACATGGAATCCATTTTCATTTCCTAAAAGGAAAATTTATTTCATTTCTGATGTGCTACATCTATTAAAAACAATACGAAACTGCTTTTCGAACTCTCATTCCCACAACAAAAAGAGACAACTGTGGAATGCTGGAAAAGACATCAACTGGATGCATATTGTTCGCCTATATGAAGAGTTTATTGAGACTAATTTGTATTCACATGCCCATAAAATGACTAGAGCACACATTGATTTAACTCCATTTTCAAAGATGAAAGTGAACTTTGCAGCACAAGTTTTAAGTGACACAGTAACCTGTGCTCTCGAAGAAGCATATGACGATTCAGTTTTAGGTACTGTTGAATTTATAAAACACATGAATAAATTCTTCGATTTTTTGAATACGAGAAATCTACTTGAGTGTAAGCGCACAAGAAATCCAAACTTAGGCGCCTATACTTCGGTAGATGATCCAAGATTTACGTATCTCCTTTATGATTTCCTTTCTTATTTCAACAGGTGGGAAAAATCAGTTGAAGAAAGACCTGGATCCTATTCCAAGTCACAGAAACAAGGCATGTTGTTAAGCAAACAAACTTTAAAAGGTCTTCGCATAAGTGTTAATTCAATTGTTGAATGTTCTAAATTTCTTTTAAGGGTTGGTGTGGAGTATGTTCTGACTAGCAGATTTAATCAAGATTCCCTTGAAGAACAGTTTTCACATTTTAGACATAAAGGTGGAGCTAACGACAATCCAACTATCTATGATATTAAAAACAATTTGTCACAAATGCGTGTAATTGGATCCACTGCACTTGCCCCAATTCATGGCAATATTACTGGTCGCAGGAAATCAGGGGGGCTTTCCTTAGACAATAGACCCATTTCTAAGAGGCCCAGGTTATAGAGGATAAAAATTAGTTGTCTTTTAAAACGGCTCACAAGTTAAGTATTTAAAATCATTTATATTCCGCAGTCCATTAAAGTTTTTTTGGCCGTATGACTCTTCCCAGATAAAAGTTACCTGAAAAGAAAAGGAAGAGCCAGCAGTAAAACATTTATAGGAAGTTTTGTATAGTGGTGTGTGGATGAGGAATGTACTTTTCCGCTTCTTAGTAACCTGGAGAGAGGAGATTTGCAGTTGTTTTTATAAGTATAGGAATAGGGAACTACATAACTAGTTACACAAGAGGGAACTGGCGCTGTAGGACAGCATGGTGGTTCAGCCTGCTGAGTTATGTTTTAATATAATAAATAATAATTAAAATAGGTAATGTTGTTGGAAAATATGGTGGTTCAGCCGCATACATGTGTTCTTTGAGGTAATAGGGAACTACATATTAACTGGTTACGAAAGATGGAACTGGCATTGTAGGACAGTATGGCGGTTCAGCCTGCTGAGTTATTCAATATGGTATAATAAATAAAACAGGTAACCAGGGTTTTAAAAATTCATATATGTACATGTATATAGTTTGCGAATGTAAAGGCTACAATCACATTATTGCTGGCGGTCTAGTTTATGACCACTACTGTTGCTTTTGTGATTATGGTCTTTATGGTTCTTGCTGAATTCTTTTTTATTGAAGTTTTGTAATAGAGATATGTAGCTAACGTTACTGACTTCACCTACCCCAGACCATGGTAATAAGTTGAAAACCAAAAACATAAGTATTAATCCATTTATTTTTTTGCTAAGTTGTTTGATTTTACAAAAACTATGTAATAATTTTATCATACTGCATTGTTATTTTAAAGCCAATTGAAATTTTATTGTAAATATTTGCTATTTAAATTGTTGTATTTTTTGTTAAATTTCAAAATCCTAATAAATACATGATAAATCGAAACCCTATTTTGTTTTTTTTTAGTCCACGCACATGACTAAAAAGGACTCAATTTGGTGCCATTCTGCTAACTGAACTGTAAGAGGCCTAGGTTATAGAGTTTATAAATTAATGTATCTACATGTATTATTGAAGCTTTGTAAATTAGGTATAGAGACATTGAGCTAACGTTATTAACTTCATCTACCCGCAGATGAATGACCATGTTAAGAAGTTGAAGACCAAAAATATAAGTATTAATTCATTTATTTTTCTGCTAAGTTGTCTAATTCTACAAACTATATAGATCTAATAAAAAGTAATAAATAAAATATAATAAAAAAGCTGTTGTGTATAAAAAAAAGACACTTTAAAACACAGTTTTCAAAAATTGGTGTTGTGAGAAGAGTTCTCCATTTGTCATAAGTTAAAACAGGATTGAAAAAAAAAACACGTGGGAAAACAAACCACTTGCTTATGTGGAAAAGTGAAGTTCTCACAGTAAAAACCACATAGCTGGACCCGTACATTATTTACATATTAAAAACTGTTCATGCAATTACTTCCATATAGTTAAACATTAGTTAAAAGTCCTTTAAAAGGGTTCACAACTTCAGCAATTAAAAACCATTTATAGTCTGCAGTTTTCTTTGGATATGACTCTTCCCAGATAAAAGTTACCTGAAAAGAAAAAGAAAGAGCCAGCAGTAAAACATTTATAGGAATAATACATAAATTAAATAGATTTATATGCACTGTCATTGTTAATAAATGATTGTGTCGGTCCCTATTCCTTTTATCATTATTTTTCCTTAATATATTATTATGTTAGATCATACAAAAGCCTATTTTGTTTTTTATCTTGGGGTCAAGGTGTTTAAAATTATACAAAAGTGCAAGTATGTTGATTGTTGACCTTTTTAATCTTTGTTGCTATTACAAATTTAACCTCCAATACCTGACATGTATCTATTATTGGTTGATGTAATTAATCAGGAAATACTTAAGGGACTGACAATTGATTAAGTAACCTGACATTGATCCTAGGTGCTAACACAACAGAGATTTCTTTAATACTTAATACCTCTTGATCCTCATTACATGTACTATTAATGATTTTGTTGAGAGGATGTACAATAAATCCAGCAATATAAAACAGCACACTTTGGTCAGAGTATGATATATCTGTTGGTTCTACCTCAGAGGATTTTTCAATATTTTTGTTAGTAGTTTGAAGTAAAACTGTAACTAATTTCTGTAAGAAAGATTGGATGAATGAATGCCTGATATGCAGATCAGCATTTGCAAAAATTAGCAGTCTTGAAAAATCGGAACAGAATTTATCATCTAGCCGCAAAACATGAAAAGCTTTACACATATGTTCTCGGTCAGATCCCATTGACTATCCTACTCCAAGTTTCGAAAATATTGAAAACAGTGGGCTTTCTAGGTGTACTTGAATCTTCTTTTTGGCCTCACAAGATTCACTGATTGTGACACCAATTAAATTGACGTTTCTTCTTTTTTCCGAAAGTACCCTACCGGATGTCATCTGAGCTAGGGTTAGTACAATAGCTTCTATAAGAATTGTTTGAAAAAATTCAAAAATTCTCAGTGGTGACCCATCTCCTTTTTCACTTTTGTCAGCGTCCGTACACTGCTCTGTGTTTGTCCTATTTTCGTGGGCTGAAATAGAAAAAAAGTTTTGACTTATTTATTTGTTTTATAAATATTATATTGTCAATTATATCAATGAACTGGGTATATAATTTTAAAAATATATAAATTAATCATTATAGTTAATTGTTTTGTCTACTGTATACTCAAGAATAAATTCAAATACTGTCATGGTAAAGCATACATCTTATATTTTATTATTATTATCATCTGCCCAGTCAATCAACTTATCAAGACAAGTGATTATTTAAATTCTTTTGTTAGTGTTAGGTGAGATAAGTTGATATTTACCTTTCAAGTCTGGCATATTATGGGTTATATTCACATGTCCACGAAAACCACGAATGGTTTTATAAATCTTTCTACAAACTGGACATATATATGTTTGTACGGGTCGTATGTTTTCTTCTTCGCCAACTAGGCGAGGATCAGGATTATATTCGTCTGAACTTGTGTCATCCCTCACCCTTTCATTGTCATGCCCAGTGAATTCTCTTAATAGATCCTCTAAGTCCATATCGGAATCATCCCAGTGGATATAATCGGTGTTCATTGTGCGTTGGATTGTATATTAGCAAAAAATATAAACATCCGACGGCTCGCTGATTTATTTTATAGGTCTTGTAAGCCATTCTACTCATAATGGAGCAGTACGCATGTCGGGTAACTACAGACACCGCTAAGGGACATAACTCGTTAACAACTTCCGTTAGGTTAATAAGCCGTTGCCAGTCCATGTATTATAAGGTCCATGATTTTAATAAATTTATATTATAAAAAAAGCAAAGTTTAAAGTGTATGAATAAAGCAATTCTCACTCACACTGCATTTATATTTAATTTATTCAATAGCAAAGTGACATTATTATTAAATATCGTACAGCCCTAGCTATATTGTCCGGGCAGTCAACAAGAGTTGTCGCATATTTTTACCGTAATGAAACATTTATAATACATTAAAATCTGATTAAGAGTAACAACTCATTAAGTTAAAGTAATTATCAGAAAACCATTAGAATTTGTTTGGTTTTTATAAAGTTCTGCCCCATGCTAACGTTTAGTATACAAAACTTTTAACATCATGGATTTAGCTGTTCAAGTCATAAAGATTCATTGAAAATCAATATACTTGTTCGACTCAAGACCTTAAACTCTGTGTATCAATCTGAAGTCAATCGGATGATAAGTTTAGCCTCTAGAGCATCACAGGATTTTTCAAAGTGATCAAGGGCCATAACTCTGGTAAAAATTATTGAAAATCGTTGAAAATGGCTAGGATTCTTCATCTCATGACCTTAAACACTGTGTATAAATTTAAAGTCAATCAGATATTAACTTTAGCCTCTAGAGCGTCCACAAGGTTTTTCAAAGTGATCAAGGGCCATAACTCTGGCAGTAATTATCGAAAATCGCTGAAAATCAATAGGCTTCTTTGTCTCATGACCTTAAACACTGTGTATAAATTTAAAGTCAATCGGATATTAACTTTGACCTCTAGAGCGTCCACAAGATTTTTCAAAGTGATCAAGGGCCATAACTCTGGCAGTAATTATCGGAAATTGCTGAAAATCAATAGGCTTCTTTGTCTCATGACCTTAAACACTGTGTATAAATTTAAAGTCAATCGGATATTAACTTCAGCCTATAGAGCGTCCACAAGCAATTGTTGACACCGGCCGGACGGACAGGGGCGACACAATATACGACCCCATTTCAATGTGGGCGTATAAAAAGGGATACAGCTACCTCGAAAACGTATATTTTCCCGCCAAAACTGACCGCCATCTCGAATAACCCCCAATATTGACTCAACGGGAACACTTATCACAAAAGTGTGTATGGAAATAGATTCAGTAACCCCAAAAATGTATATTTTGATACCAAACTCCATTATATTATGATAATTGGGTGGAAATAGGAATTTACAAGCCAAAACCAGCGGCCATTTTGGATTTTGCTAATTTGACGCATTTGGGCACGGATTTCGAACTGAGAGTTTTTTTGGTGATAATATTAATATATGTCAAGACCGACCATAAACCGTGGTCAGCATTTCTATTACAGCAACTGCCTGCACTTATGCTATCTTGCCTGGACTACAACACATAAAGAAATAAAGTAACCAGTGAAAAAGAGTCTAGGGCAAGATTGTGTAAGACATACACTTGTAAGACCTATATTTGTTCTAGTAGATAAAAAAATTGATTAATTTGTCCAGTATTTTAACAAATATTAACAGTCTTATTAAGAGGAAATTTACTACATAGTAAATTTTGCACATCATCTTCACTGTATTTGTAACTATGAAATTGAGTTTAACGATCTAATTTTCTGCACAAACCAGGCTTATGAAGATTGTTGTCAAGATGAAGAAACACTAAACTAATTTAGATGTAAGACTTACCCATTTGTATTTTAACTCTAAATAATTTAGATGTAAATTGATCATTAACTGTAAATACATGAGCAGCTTCTGTAAAACATACAAATGAAGATGATTATTCAAAGTTTGATTTTCATACAGTAAGGCTCATAATATGTCTATACAGAAAACTGTTTAACATTAATTCCTTTGCTAAATTATATTCCTTCCTCAGACAGTCAACAGAATTATGGCATAGATCTAACGTCATGCATCATCCGATTCTCGAAAAATACCAGTCCATAAGCTTTCACAGGAAGTAAAAGGCTGGATTAGATGCCCTGTCTACTTCTACAAGTACATGTATGTTAATTCAATCATGTAATTGAACCCACATAATTGCTGAAGTTCAGATGTAAACTTTATTTTGTGAACAGACGTCTGTATTACCCGTAACAATCAGAATCCATGCCTTAAAAAACTTGACAATTCAAATATCAAAACTGAGACTTTCTACTTCTATCATGACAGCACAACTATCATAACCCCATAAATATAATGACAAAGATATCTATATTTTACCTATATCCTTTGTTTTGGGGTCTTTATGTAAAATTCTTTGTGCTAATTTACCAACGGCTAAAGATTGAAGGGCTCGAGTTAATTCTCTTTCTGGCACATCCGTATGGTTTTTTATTTCCTAAAATATAGCATAACACAACTTAAATATCAGAATGGACTGTAGTACACTTTAAAAGAAAATCTTATTATAGTAAATATCAAAATATATAATTGATAAATAATGTATTCCCGTACAAAGCATCTCGGGAGTAAGAACCAATTCATCACATTATTGCAACAACAACTTCAGAATTTTGCTCAAAAATATCTTGATAGCAATATAATCTGGATACCTTTTCAACTGGTAATAAATCCATCTAAATTAAAAACAAGTAGAAATGTATTTACCTCATATGTCCATTTTTCTCTACTATTATTAAATAACATCAATATACACATCTGATAAGTAGAAACTTGTAATATATGTTTACGTGGATTCTTGGCACTGGCCCCGCTACTTTCTCCATCATCTTTTTTAGGGCCATAAAAGGTAGCATGAAGATCGGCTGAACCAAGTTGAGGCTGTAAAGTCAGCTGACGACCGCTGTGTTTCGCCAAATAAAATCTAACAGACATAAATAAAAGATAGGTTGCCAGGCAAGGAAACATATGTCCACAGCAGCTATATCGTCCAGGCAGTCAACAAGAGTTGTCGCATATTTTTACTTTTTTCGGTAATGAAACATTTATAATACATTAATATCTGATTAAGAGTAACAACTCATTAAGTAATTATCAGAAAACCATTAGAATTTGTTTAGTTTTTATAAAGTTCTGCCCCATGCTAACGTTTAGTATACAAAACTTTTAACATCATGGATCTACCTGTTCAAGACCTTAAACTCTGTGTATCAATCATTGAAAATCAATATGATTCTTCATCTCATGGCCTCAAACACTGTGTATAAATTTAAAGTCAATCGGATATTAACTTTAGCATCTAGAGCATCAACAAGATTTTTCAAAGTGATCAAGGGCCATAACTCTGGCAGTAATTATCTGAAATTGTTGAAAATCAATAGGCTTCTTCGTCTCATGACCTTAAACACTGTGTATAAATTTAAAGTCAATCGGATATTAACTTTAGCCTCTAGAGCGTCCACAAGATTTTTCAAAGTGATCAAGGGCCCTAACTCTGGCAGTAATTATCCGAAATTGTTGAAAATCAATATGGTTCTTCATCTCATGGCCTCAAAACTGTGTATAAATTTAAAGTCAATCGGATATTAACTTTAGCCTCTAGAGCGTCCACGTCCACAATATTTTCAAAGTGACCAAGGGCCATAATTCTGGCAGTAATTATCCGAAATCTTTGAAAATCATAACTTTAGCAGTAATTATCCAAAATCATTGAAAATCAATATGATTCTTCTTTTCATGGCCTCAAACACTGTGTATAAATTTAAAGTCAATCGGATATTAACTTTAGCCTCTAGAGCATCAACAAGATTTTTCAAAGTGATCAAGGGCCATAACTCTGGCAGTAATTATCGGAAATCGCTGAAAATCAATAGGCTTTTTCGTCTCATGACCGTAAACACTGTGTATAAATTTAAAGTCAATCGGATATTAACTTTAGCCTCTAGAGCATCCTCAAGATTTTTCAAAGTGATCAAGGGCCATAACTCTGGCAGTAATTATCGGAAATCGCTGAAAATTAAAATTAAGAGTGTATCTGCGAGAAGACCATGCAAAAATCGCAAAAAGTCCTAAGATGGGGGGGTCGGAAGTTTTTGCCCCTAGGGGCAAGAGGTAACATGCTGAAGTGGTTACAGTCTGATGTCGCTCTAAAATACTGTACAGGAATTATTCATTTTATTGGTAAAATTGCGGTTTTCACATGTGTATTTATCACCCTTTTTAAGAACAGACTGCATTCTATGGTGGAATAGCAACCTTCTAATTTTGACCCTGTCTGATAAAGCGGGTGGTCAACTTCTACCCCAGCACTAATTTGAAAAAAAAAAAATCAGTACATACTAATTTTGTGTGGACTTGTTTTAGGGTACCATATTCACATTGTCCTTATAGTGCAGAAAAAGATACTGTAACTTTTTCTTTCATGGTCGCAAGTAGAATTTCTTTGGATGGTTTTGAAGTGCTAAGCACATAGTATCCATAGGTGTAAAAAAAATGACAGGAATACAACATACTTAAAATATACAGCTTATTGAAAAGTGCTAAAAATAAGCTTTTGTGATACATTTTTTTGCAAATTTAATTAGAGAAATAAAATTTTGGACTTTTATACGTTTTCATCATATCCATAGCCATTATTTGTACCATGTTGTACTCTATATAAGTGTGTATTCGTATTTATTGTATATTTGGTATTGTCATTATGTCCCTTTAACATATTTGTTGTATTGTCTCTTTAAGATTTCATTTTCAAACAGGTTACCGAAAATGGCAACAAAATGTTTAATTTCAGAGCATGTTTCCACTATTCATTTTGGGACACATCCACTGATTTCTACAATACAGAAATGTGGAAGCTTAAATCCTAATTGCGTCGAAGTGGGTGACATTGAACAGTGTAGTATGGTAGCTACAGCTCTCGGGCACCGTCAGCTGCACCTTCAGGGCCGGATTTAGAATAAGAGAGGCCCTAGGCAAACCCCCCGAACAGGGCCCTAGGACAAGCAACTCGGTGAGAGGGTGGGTTGGGGGAAGTCATGCGGTTGGTGGTTCGAATCTCACTTTGAGGTGAATTTTTCATTTTCGTTGGATTATTTTATTTAAAATAATGTCTATTTGAGAGTAATGGATATGTTTGTTAAGATTGAGCACGTCGAAACTCCAATGGAAGGTCGTGGACAACTCGGAAGCCAATTCCCGTTGACGCCAGATGAGCCATGAACGATTACAGGCCTTTGAAAGTATTTTTTTTCAAGACATTTTTATAAAACAGATACTAATGTATTTTAGGGCTGGTAGTAAACACCATATGAATGAAAAGGAAAATAAATTGTTAGGTTTTTTTTTTATCTACTACGGTTAATTATCTCCAAAATAGGGAAATTACAGATTAATTTCATGGGTTATTGTTTCCTTTAACTAGTTTTTGTCAAGTCGATTCCGGTCATTTTTATTTTTTGTATCAAATGTTGGGAGGTTGCTTGTTCATGTGAGCATACATTTTTTAAACCCACCCCATGAAAGAAGTAGTTATAGGGTGTCAAACTTTGGGTGACGAAAAATTTAGACAGACTTTGATATCCAGTCCGTATACAGATCTCGTTCGCCAGAATCGTCTGAAGTTAATATTGTGGTAACAGCACTGAGTCATCGATAAACTGTGTGAGTTTGGTCTTTCTGCTACGTATAGTAAAGGTGTAAGGACTTGCCAAAGTTGGTATTTGAGAAAAGACAGATTTTGGCAATTTCACCATATGAAAAATGTTTTTTCAATTTTCTCATACAGGAATTGAAAGATTTATCTAATATTGCACATTTATGTGTTTTGGGACTATCCCAACTTATAAACCAAATTTGGTCAAAATCTGTGAGTGAAGCCTTAGCACCTTCTGCATGGTTTTCTCGCGGACATGCTCTTAATCGGCTTCTTCGTCTCATGACCTTAAACACTGTGTATTAATTTAAAGTCAATCAGATATTAACTTTGACCTCTAGAGCGTCCACAAGATTTTTTGAAGTGATCAAGGGCAATAACTGGCAGTAATTATCGAAAATAGGTGAAAATCAATAGGCTTCTTCGTCTCATGACCTTAAACACTGTGTATAAATTTAAGTGAATCTGATATATTGTGGACGCCGGACGGACGGACGGGGACGACAACAATAAAATGCTATTGTCAGTGAATTTTTTCAATAATTAAATGTTCATTTTTTTAATTTATAACTCTCGATACGGAAGAATAAAAAACATAGCTAGGTTTGTTTGTGATCCTAAAGTACAAGTCCATATTTTAGACAGTTAATAATTGTTTATTTTGAGAGACTGGGTAATCTACGCTTGACATCACGTGCTGTTCAGAAGAGATCGGGCGCGACAGCATGGACACTCGTCTAAACTCTTAATGGTAATATTACGGAATTAAATCTGGAAATTTGAACCTAACAAAACGTGTTTTGAATGTATTTTACCTAGAAGCCATCCAAAGTCTCCATTACATGGTCCGACAAGACGCATTGGAAGATAATAAAGGAATGTAAAGACGAATTCTCAACGAAATAGGCTAAGAAAGTTTTGTCAACAAACGACGTCATAGAGCGTGCGAAAACTTCAACTTCCGTTGTACACAAAGAGGTAGTTTTTGGGTTTCTTTTTTCGTTTATTGTTAAATATAAACAATGCCCGCGAGTTTAAAATAGAAAGTTAAAGGTTAGAGAAGGACACAGGGCAGTTGTGAAAAGGTTTGTCAGTAAGGCTGAAGAAATTCTGATTAGTTTGACATCTGAAAGTGAAAATTTGGAACACGTATTTGATAAATTGAACCAGATTAGAGAAACTCTTCAACAAAAATCAGAGATTTTACAAACATTGGACAAGGAATTCTGAACTCTGTTGATGAAGATAATATCATTGAAGAGATAGAAACAAGTGATGAATACTCTGAACTTTTTAACTTTAACGCTTCATCGTCTTGAATCTAACTTAGTCAAGGTCAAGCCAAGTAAAAAAACAGGAACAAATATCGCTTGAAGTACAAAATGATCCAGAACTACAACCTACTATTAGTAACCCACAGCAAGTAAATATAAATAATCATACAGATTATTCTGCATCACGTATAAACTTACCTTAACTGGATTTACGAAAATTTGATGGAGATATTAGTAAGTGGCAAACTTTTTGGGATTCGTTTCAATCATCTATTCATGATAATACTAGTATTTCAACCATTGATAAATTCAACTATCTCTTAACCTTGGTAGAGGATGCTGCTGCAGATGCCATATCCGGGTTATCCCTTACTGCTGGGAATTATGAAGATGCTATTGGTAATAAACAATTAATTATAAACTGACACATGAATTTATTGTTGAACCTAAACCCAGTTACATCTAATCAGAATCTTGGAGGACTTCAACAATTATATGACACTGTAGAATTTAATGTGCGAAGTTTGAAATCTCTTGGTGTTTCACAGGAAACTTATGGAAGCATCCTTACTTCCATCCTCATGACTAAACTGCCCAATGATGTTAAATTAGCAATAAGTCGTGAAAGTAAGTCAGATCAATGGACTTTAGACCAAATTATTGAAATATTTCTCAATGAATTAGAAGCTAAAGAACGAATCTACAGAACGCTTTCATATACAACTTTACAAGCAACTCTTATTCGACTGCACAACCTCCCAGTCACTACAGTCAGTTAAGACGTCATTCTCATAGCCACAAAGGACATCCATCTGCTGCTGCACTCCTGACCAATGATAGCTCCCATGGACCAACTTGTACTTATTGTAGAAGGGACCACGCCTCAGCCAGTTGCAAGACTGTAACAAATATAGAAGCCAGAAAGGATATCTTAAGAAAATATGGCCGTTGTTTCATTTGTCTCAGAAGATATCACACAGCAAGAAATTGCCCATCAAG